AGTTACCAAGTTGTATTCTTGGCACTAGGTGAGCCTAGGGTCCTCTTACTCTGCTGCCATCTTCCACTCTCCTGGATTCTCTTCTCTTTATGTTCTGTGCATGTATTACAGGTCTTCAATTTGTGGTTACCATTAGGTTCATAGATCGCTTATGTGTAAAGCAGTCTATATTAACTTGATGGTTGCTTCAGTTTTGACCCATTCTAAAAGCATTTTTTACTCTGATTTCTCACATTTTAGTATATGATATCATACTTTTCATCCTCTTGTGAAAAACTTGACTGATTTTCATAGATGATTTTCCTGCCTAGGTGCTTTGACCTCCATTCTAGTTTTATAAGAGATTAATATACTTTTGTTTGCATTTATCTGTGAAACTTTTGCTTTCATAATTCTCTTTGATTATGGCCTTTTCTTTCCAAAGAATTCCCTTTAACACTTCTTGTAAGTCTGGTTTCTTGATAAATTCCTTTAACTTTCTCTGTCTATAAACCATCTCTGTCTATTCTAATAGATAACCTTGCTGGTAGTGTGGCTTTGGCTGCAGATATTTTTTTTTTTCAGTACTTCAAATATTTCATGGTACTCCCTAATGTCTATACAGTTTCTGCTGAAAATGTACTACTAAAATTATGGGCATTCCTTTGTATGTAACATTATCTTTATCAATACTTTTTGCCATTTTAATTACTACATGTCTTGGTGTGTACCTCTTCGGGTTGGTTTGGTTGGGGTTCTCTTTGCCTCATGGATCTGGATGTCTGTCTGCTTTCTTCCCCAGATTAAGGAAGTTTTCAACTATTATTTCTTCAAATTTTACTGCCTGCATCTCTCTTCTTCTTCGGAGGTATCTGTAAGGCAAATGTATTGGGCTTGATGATGTTGAGAAGATCCCTTAATCTCATTTTTTTTCCTTTTTGCTTAGCTTGGTTGCTTTCCATTACTCTCTCTTCCAGATCACTGATCCATTCTGATTCCCATAGTCTACTATTGATTCATTCCCTGTAGTGTATACATATCCATCTATCTATCATTTATCTATTTACTTTTGAGAGAGAGATAAAGCAAGTGGAGGAGGGGCAGAGAAAGAGAGGAAGAGAATCCCAAGCAGGCTCCAAGCTGTCAGCACAGAGCCCAAGGCAGGGCTCAAACTCATGAACTAGGAGATCATGACCTAAGACGATATCGAGTCGGATTCTTATGTGACTGAGCCAGGCAGGCACCCCTGGTGTATTTTTAATTTCAGTTACGGAGTTCATCATCTCTGCTTCTTTATTATATTTTCTCTTTGTCAAAGCTCTCACTGAGATCCCCTACTCTTATGTCAAGTCCACTGAGTGGCTTTATGACTTTTATGTTAAATTCTCTACCGGGAGTTATTGTCTCCAAGTAATTTAGTTCTTTTGCTGTGGTTTTGCACTGTTCTTTCATTTGGCTCATAGTCTCATTTTGTCTAACTCTGTTTTTAAGTATTAGGGAAGTTAACTACATATTCTGCTCTTCAAAATAGTGGCCTTAGGAAGAAGAGTTGCAGATGTCCCCTACAGTGCAACACCTCCCAATCACCAAACCAGGTGCTTTAGACCTATTACCTCTGTGGGTTGTTTGTGCTCTACTGTTTTTGGTGACCCATGTTTGCCTTCAGTCTCGTCAGTTTCAAGAGTCTGCTTTGCCTGTTGGGGGTACACTGGGCAGAGTTTGGTCCCTGTACTGTTAGGGGGCCAGTGTGGGGCCCACCATGGTCCTACAGTTGGGTTGTATCTGTGGTCAGACCAGATGCCTGCCCTCAGCTCATCTGCCAGGGATGCAGTCACATGGACAAGCAAAGCATTCTCACTTCCTTGTTCCCTGGGAGGCTTTTGTTGCTAGTTCAAGGCTTGTGTCAAGCCCAATGCCTGCTCCCAGTCCTGCTAAGGCTGCAGTTCCACTCATCAGCAGGGCATTCTCTGTGCTGCGAGCTATAAGGGCCAGCTGCTGGGTGTGTGGGCACACTGGTGTGTATGGTTATCTTCCCCTATCCCCAAGGCAGGAGTCACTTGGAAGTACGGCCAGTTCCTACTGGGGCTGCCTGCAAGGTGTGTTTGAGACAAGAGGTACTTTGGAGACACCTGCCAAATGGGGTGAGTTGGGTGGGGCAAATACACAGAACATAGGGATGCAGCAGGAGCTCTTAACAAGTTAGATTCGAGTGTCTGTGGGTTCCAGCAAGTGCTGGGCTATCTATCCTTGGGGTGGGGAGAAATGGTACCTGTCAGATACTTTGTTCTTGAAGGAGTCTTCTAAAGGTCTCTGCCTCTCCAATACACATTGAGATTAGTAAATAAATCTTCACATATACCCTACACACTTTTCAAACTGCTGCTTTTATGCTGTATCTCAGCCATGTTAGGGGCCTTTAAGGGCAGGGACTCCGTTTCCTGTGGCCCTCAGACACTCCTGGAGTTAAGAATGCTGATTTTTAAAGTACTCCATGTTAAGCCCTGATGATTGTCAAAGTGCGTGCCACAGGCTTTCAAAGACACATGTTAAGGCGACTGGTCTTCCTCGTGCACATCCGTGGTGCCTTGTGTGAGGTCCGATAAGAATATCCATGCTTGTGGGGGTGTCCCCCATTACTGGTTAGTCTAGACAAGGGCTTTATTCCCTGCCATGTTTCCACCTCTCCTACCCTTTTTGATGTGGCCTCTTCTCTATGATGAACAGTGAGAAGTCTGTTCTACTAGATTTTCAGTCATTTTCTGAATTAGCTGCACTAATGTGGTGGTTATTAAGGTGTGTCTGTTGGAGAAGTTGAGCTTAGTATCTTCGACCGTCTTCCTAAAAGTCTGTCTCTAATTTTAAGAAACCTCCATAAAATTTTCACAATGGCTGCACCAGTTTGCATTCCCACAACAGCGCATCAGGTTTCCCTTTACTCCACATCCTCACCAACACTGGTTTGTCTTTTGTATTCTAACCAGTGTTAAGGTGGTATCTCATGGGTTTGATTTGCATTTCCCTAATGATTACTGATGTTGGGCATCTTCTCATGTGTTTATTGGCCATCTGTATGTTTTCTTTGGAAAAATGTCTATTCAGGTGCTCTCCCCATTTTTTATTTATATATTTTGGGTATTAACTCCTTATCAGATATATCAGTTGCAAATATCTTCTCCCATGCACTAGCTTGCTTCGCTTTGTTGATGATTTCCTTTGCTTTACAAAAGCCTTTCATTTTCATGTAGTCTGGTTTTGGTTATTTCCCTTGCCTGAAGAGGCATCCCTAGAAAACTGCTGCTGTGAGCACTATCAAAAATTAAGGCCTATGTCTTCTTCCAGGAGTTTTGTGGTTTTAGGTCTCAGGTTTAGGTCTTTAATAAACCATCTTGAATTTGTGTATGGTGTAAGAAAGTGAGGACCTCAGTCCTACATTGAATAGAAATGGTGAAAGGGGGCATCCTTGTCTTGTTCCTGATCTTAGAGGGGAAAAAAACCTCAATCTTTCACCACTGAGTATGACCTCAGTCTTTCACCACTGAGTATGATGTAAGCTGTTGAGTTTTTCAGAGATGGTTTTTATTATATTGAAGTATATAGCCTCTAAACCTACAGTGTTGAGTTTTTATTATGAAGTTGTTTTTCTGCATCCTTTGAGAAGATCATATGGTTTTTATCCTTTCTCTTAACGTGATGTACAATGCAACTGACTTGCATATATTGAAACACACAATACCTTGACAGTGTGAATAATTTGCTTTAATGTATTGTTCTATTTCTTTTTTTTGACAATACTTTGTTGAGAATTACCCTGATACCAAAATCATATAAAGACATTTCCAAAAAAACCCAAAATATTATAGGCCAGTATCTCTAATGACCCTAAATGTAGAATCTTCAACAGAATAATAGTTAGCTTCACCTATAATTTTTAATCTTTTAGCCAGAAAATGAAAAAAGCTGGATATAACATTTAACACACTATACCAAAAACAGAATTCCACCAATACAAAATTGAGATAATTTACATTCTTTGTACATCTTCAAAATCTTGTAAGGGCCCAATAAATTGTAGGAAAAGAAATTGGCAGGTATTTTTCCATTGTCTGGTCTTCTTAATTTGATTGAGAACAAGCATGTGAACGTATTGTACTCTCTCTAAACTCTATATGCCATTATAGATTTGGATCAAGATATACTTTTAGCAGAATTTATATATTAATAAACAGTGTGAGACAAGTACTACATCTGATACTATACAAGTGGCAACAAAATTATTTCAACCATTAATCCATTTACAGATATTGACACAAGTAACATTCAATAGACAGTCTTGTTTTTAGTACTTATCAGAATTACTAATTTTCTGTATTTTACTTACATATATTGTACACATCGGTTTCTCCTATGACACTACATAAGAGAAGGAACTACATCTACTCCTTGTTTGTCATTATATATCTGCCTTAGAATGTTTTACACGTAGCAAATGATCAGGAACTGTTAAATCAACAAATGTAGCCATGCATTGATGATCAGCCTGAACTAGCTGGTCATTTCCTCTCTCAGTGTTTTCCAGTAGCTAAGACATAGTCCACATTTCTCAGCGGAATTTTTTCTTTACAATAATTGGGTTAAGGCATTAAAAATTAAGTAGTTGAGAAATTTCCTACTAGTAAGAAATGCATTTACAGCTGAGGCATAAATAAATAAGAGAACAGCCTCTATATCAACCTCTTATATAAAAAAGTAAGATGCATCTGGAAGGGAAGAATAAGGAACAATGTTTCCTACCACCTTTGATAGTGGCATGGTTCTAATAAGCTCTGGACACTTCAGAAGCTCCTCTGGCATCCTAAATCGAACCACAGAAATATCATAGTAGCAGTGACAAAACCTAAAAATCTCCTATATTATTATGACTAAACATCAAACCTACTAAAAAAACACACACAACCTCAAAATCATATGGTAATGATACAAATAACATATTACAGTCTTCAGATGATAGAAATAATTTTATGTAGCATGTAAAAACTGGAAAAATGCAGACTTGAGAGAGCAGCTCTTATCCTCATTCTGGATACCATATAATGGCAGTTTAATAATACTGGTGTCTCCCAATGATCACTTTAATAATTTTAGCACCAAAAACTCTTACTAATGAAATGTTTCCTGTTTTGCAGACTACTGGAATACACAAGCATTTTCATATCATTCCCACATTTATTGGCCTATTGTATGTAAATCAATCTTTAAAAAAACTAAGTATTTAAAATGCACTAAAGAAATCACTTTTCCCTTTTCTTTTTAGATGGGGGTTCCAAAAGTGGGGTAAATTCAGCTTCCTCATGGTGTTTTCTTTTTTTTTTTTTCTTTTTATGGTCACTCTGGTAACCACTGGAGTCACTACCTTGGAAAACAGGATCCTGGTCCTGATCTTCCTGGTGCCTTTTCTTCTTCTTCTTCTTTGGCTCTTCCTTCCGGAGGCCATTCTCATTATTAATCTGCAGGTCTGTCTCTTCCTTCACAGTGACATCTGCAAAATCTGCTAGCTCTCTGTTATCACTCTCCACTTCGTGTGAGTCTAGGTCTTTCTTCTTTTTCTTTTTCTTCTTCAGAGGTTTTTCTACAATTTCGTCAGTGCCAGTTTCTGTTACTTCTTCAGAAACTGTAGAGCACTTGGTTTGTAAACTAAAATAACAGTTGAAAAAATTTATAGAGCAATAAACAAAAATAGAAGAATGAGATCAAGAATATCCCAAATTTTAATCTTTTTTCTAAGTAAAAACAGTAGTACAAGATACAGAATATCCCAAATTTTAATCTTTTTTCTAAGTAAAAACAGTAGTACAAGATACAGAAGTATGGCATAAATATCAAATATTCTAATCTGTTATCCTTCAGCCCATTACAATGTTGGAAAACTTAAAATTTTTTCCAGGTCCTTCTTCCAGACTGTTTGCATACATAAAAATGGCAAACAAATTTTATCATCTTGTTTTCAGAAAAATTTGCTCACTGTGCATGAAACAGCACCAATACTCAAGCTTATCAGTCAAGCAACTGACGAGTGACAGAAAATACACCTTCACTGTCTATCAAAATTAATGAAGTTTCCCATCTACACTCTGAATCCTTGTTTCAAATTACTCATTTTTTTCAAAGTTGTGAGTTAACACTAAAAAAAAAAAAAAAAAAACCCATGGATCAGTGAAGTAGCCCTTTCTCTGGAACTGCAGAATCCCATACAGTAGCACTAGCTACATCCAACTTAATAAATTCCATGAGATAACTTCAAAATTTAAGTTCTCAGTTGTGCTAGTCCCATTTCCAGTACTGAGGCTACTTATTTGCACAAATACAACACATTCCTATCACAGAAAGTTAAACTAGACAACTGCTCTAAAACTAAACCATACTCTTGTTAATTACCAAGGCAAAATCTAGAAGTTCTTTTTTCTTAACCTCATTAATCTTGCCTCCCATGGAGCCAAGCTCAAGATTATAAGTTCGCAGAATTTCAATATAGAAAAATATGGAAATTATCTACCTGGCATAGCGGAAATAATCAAATATGATTAAGCTTTCAGTAGTTTCAAGCTTAGGATCAACTTTTTAAAATAAGATGGAGTTAGTAAACTAGAGACCCATTAACTAGACATGCAAATCTTTAGAATATTCAATGCATTGTCAAAGCACTTAAGATTCCAACTTACATGGAGTTTATGGCATCAATATTCTAATAAAATTACTTTTTGGAAGAGGGGCTTATGCTCTCTAAATTCAGAATTAAAGAGAAATGACTATCAAAATTAAAATAATGTGATTAGGAACTGACCTAGTGGTATTTAATTTTCCCCGAATGCAGAATACTCCAGCAGCATCTGAGTCCAGACGAAATACCTCAAATTCTAGTTCATCACCCACGTTTACCTCCAGGATCTGCCACTGCTCAGCCGGCATCTGCTCAGGTTTAGGGATGGACGCATTGAAACACCCATGCACTAAACAGCCAATGTGGCTAGAAGACACTTTATTAACTGTACCCTGGGAAGAAAGGAAAAAAAAAAAAATCAAGCTATCTAAAGAGTTTAAAAGGTAAATCAAACTTTATTTTTGTTTTAATGTTTATTTCTGAGAGAGAGACAGCATGAGTAGGGGAGGGTCAGAGAGAGGGGGAGACACAGAATTTGAAACAGGCTCCAGGCTCTGAACTAGCTGTCAGCACAGAGCCGGATGTGAGGCTTGAACCCACAAACTGTGAGATCATGACCTGAGCCAAAGTCGGATACCTAACCGACTGAGCCACCCAGGCGCCCCAAACTTTATAAGCTTCAAACTGATCTTCAATGAGAAAACATCAAAACAATTGGTATAACTTAATATGGAAAAAGATTTTCGATTAAAATCTACATGTTATACTAAACCATTTTAAAACACTGTAGAGTTTTTAGAAATCTGGGACTTGGCTAAGTAATTGCATATCAAGTGCCTAACTGGATAAACAACTACTCTTCCCACCCCTAAAACAAAACAAAACAACCTATCTTACTTAGTTCTGCTATAGGACTCTCTGGGGAAGAGATTATCACTATATTGAAACCAAGCAGAAAATACTCTATGATATGACCTAAATGTGAAAAGACCTCAAGGCAGGAAGCATAGGCTTTTTATACCTAGGATCCACATTATATTTTCAAAAACAGTCTGAATTTCAAAGCTTAAAAAGCATTCTTGGATGGCTCGGTCAGTTAAGTGTCTGACTTCTACTCGGGTCATGATTTTGTGGCTCACACGTTTGAGCCACGCACCTGGCTCTGTGCTGACAGCTCGGAGCCTGCTTTGGATTCTGTGTCTCCATCTCTTTCTGTCCCTCCCCAACTCACATCTCTCTCAAAAATAAAGATAAAATTTTTAAAGTCTTTAACAATTAACTTTAGTATGATGTAATTTAGAAGACAGCTTACCCTTCATCAGTAGATCTTGAGCATGGCTACCCTGAATCACAAGAACAGTTTTAGAAGCTTTAAAGCTAATAAGTATGTGCTATATGATTTTAGGCTTAAGATCTTTTCTGGAAAACGTTCATTTTAATTCTTAGGGAAACAAAACTAAGCAATTAGTAAAAACCTGAACTACTTTAGACAGCTTTAATATAAAATTTCTTGGCTGTCATTATCAGGAATCTGTTTTTCCCGATGGTACATTCTGGATGATATGGACAAACTACAGTGCCTCTATACAATGGAGTACTATTCAGCAATGCAAAATAATGAACTGTCAAGCCATGAAAAGACATGGAGGAGGAACCTTAAACTAAATGCATGTTGCCTAGTCAAAGAAGCCAGTCTGAAAAGCATACATATATTGTGATCCAAACAGATGAGGTAAACTACAGAGACAGAAAAAACATCAATAGTGGCCAGGGTTGCAAGAGGTGAGTAAGTAAAACAGAATTTTTCAGAGCAGTGCCCAATTATTTTATAGATACAGCAATGGTGGATACATGTTAGTGTATTGTACACTCCATGGGATTTAGAATGTACAACACCGAGTAAACTCTAATTCAAGATTTTATTTAATAATATATGAATTCTGGCCTAACAATTTTAACCAATTTATCACACTAATCCAAGATGTCAATAATAGGAGAAACTGTATGTGCTGAGCTGGGGGAGTGAAGTGGTATTTTCCACTCCTTTTTCCTGTAAATCTAAAACTGCTATAAAGCTTATCCAAGAAATAATAGGAAAAGAAAAGTCTTTTCAATATATGGTTCTGGAGCAACTGAATAACGACATGAACAAGAACATGAATCTTGAGGGGCGCCTGGGTGACTTAGTCGGTAAATCGTCTGACTTTCACTTAGGTCATGATCTCGCGGTTTGTGGGTTCAAGCCCTGCGTCGGGCTCTGTGCTGACAGCCAGCTCAGAGCCTGGATCCTGTTTCAGTCTGTGACTCCCTCTCTCTCTGACCCTCCCTTGCTCACGCTGTCTCTCTGTCTCTCCCCTAGAAATAAATAAAACATTAAAAAAAAAAAAAAAAAAGAACATGAATCTTGAGGGTCTATCTCACACATTAAAGACTGGTCATATATCTAAATGGAAAAGCTAAAACTAAACAACTCTAGAGGCTTATAGAAAGGATCTTCACAATCTAGTAGTACACAAATTTGTTACACAGGATCCAGAAAGCAATAACCATAAAAGTAAAATATGACCAACTGGACCTCATTAATATTAAAAACTTGTTTATGAAGTGATACCATTAAAAGCTAATAGACAAGGTACAGACTGGAAGAATATTCACAATATGTTTGCTTGGAAAGGATTTATATGACATTTATAAACAGAACTACTAAATCTCAGTAACACAAATGCCCAACCAAAATTGGGCAAAGTACTTAAACTGATGGATAAATACTAGGTTCTCTGTAATTTACATTTCCTTCATGAGCTCTTTTTCATGTTTGAATAAGAAAGGCCTGTTTAATTAAAAGACTAACAAAACCAAATGCTGGCAAGGACACAGCAACTAATAGTGCTGAATGTTCAATTTTATGAAAAAAAGGCTAATTTCTCAAACACCTACCCTCTGACTTCTTAGCAATACCACTTTCAGTTTCTACCTAGGAGAAATGAAAATATACATTCACACAGCTTTATTCACAATAGCTCCAGACAGAAACCAAAATGTCCATCAATGAGGATGAACAATCACATTTTAATACTCATGTAACTGAATTCTACAAACCCCAAAAAGGAATAAAATTACCAATACACCACCAAACAGCATGGATGAAATGCAAAAATATGTTGAGCAAAAGAGGTCAGATTTCATCAAAGAGTGTATTAATGAAAAATTCCACTCATACAAAATGATAAACTAAGCAAAACTAATGAATGGTAAACAGAAGCAGAACCGTGGTTGTATCTGGAATAGAGAGGATAGACCAAGAAAGGACATGAGGATCATTTCTAAAATAAAATGGTAGATATGCCCTTGTCAGAATTCACTGACCTGTACACTATGACCTATGTATTTTGCTGTATATAATTTAGATCTCATATTTTACTGTAAGTAAATAATACCATGTATTAAAATTTAAAAATTGGAAAAAACTCCCCAAATGTATTTGAGGACTGGTGCCCTAACCTCATCCTTCATTCACTTTCATTACAGGCCTGATCCCACAACTATTTGAATTTTCAACACCTATTTGAAACACTACTACACGGATTGAATCCTTTTTTTTTTTTTAATAACTTTTTTTTTTTTGTAATGTTTATTTATTTGAGACCGAGAACGAGTGAGCAGAGAGGAGGAGATGCAGAATCTGAAGCAGGCTTTGACCTGTCAGCACAGAGCCCGACACCAGGCTCAAACTCACAAACTGTGAGATCATGATCTAAGCTGAAGTAGGAAGCTCAACTGATTGAGCCACCCAGGTGCCCCTGTTTGAACACTTTATAAAGAAACTATTTGTGTATAATTAAGCTAATATTTTTTTTTTTACCACTTTTTTACCACTTAAGATCATTCTGGTGCTATACAAAGAAGAGAATAAATTGTATGAGACACATACTCTGCTTATACAGGTGAATTTAGAAGAATGGAGTTTAAAAACTTACTAAAGATGAACTGATATTTTTCTTAAAAAATAATTTTTAGGGGTGCCTGGGTGGCTTAGTTAAGCATCTGACTTCAGCTCAGGTCACTATCTAATGGTTCGTGAGTTCAAGCCCCATGTTAGGCTCTCTGCTATCACAGCAGACCCTGCTTCAGATCCTCTGTCCCCTTTTTTCTGCCCCTCCCCTGTTTTCTCTCTCAAAAATAAACATTTAAAAAAAATAATTTTTAGTTACCCACAATAGCAAGTCATTTCTTTCTCAAGGTGTATAGTCCTAAAATCTTCCAAATTACATCATTATACAACTATACAAAGAAAGCTTTAAATATATATACATACCATAAGCTTTTGCCCTGGTTCGGGGCAGAAAATAACAAAATCGGCTTCAATGTTAAGATGAATGTGTCCTTGATCATCATAAATATCTCCCAGCTCACCCACCACTTTGATGTTGTCATATGCAATGGGGACACCTAAAAGGCTGTTAAAAAAAAGATATACTTTATCCTCTTTTAAACTAGTCCATTGTCCTGATTAAATATTCTGAGTCCAAAAATTATACCCCTTTTAAATATAAGTACACATGCCATAACAAAATAGCATTATTACTCCATAATGACTTGAATAATTCAACTTGACCAAAAGGTTCCAATATATTAAGTTAAAAAGGCTTCTCCAAGAACTATGCATTATAGTCATTGTCCAATGGGGGGAGGGGGAGAACTTGAAAGAAAAATGTCTCTATTTCTAAGTATAACTGAGTGAAGGCAATTTTGGTATTATCCACCATTACTGGATTTTTGTACTAGATGGCCCATAGCAAGATCAGTATTAAAAGAGAAGGCCCTAAATATTAAAGCCAGTAACTTAAGGGAGAAAACTCCTTAAATTCTGTTAGTAGGAAATAAAAATGGTAATAAATACAACTACATATTTCATTTATTAGGAACTGAGTGACTCAGTTGGTAAACATCTGACTCCTGATTTTGGCTCAGGTCATTATCTCAAAGTGGAGAGGATCAAGCCCCATGTTGGGCTCACACTGGGCATGAAGCCCGCTGAAGATTCTCTCCCAATCCCTCTGTCCCTACCCTGGAGCGTGCACTTGTGTGTGTGCATACATGCACATGCTCATTCTCATTCTCTCTCTCTCTCTGAAAAACAAAACTGATTTGCCCATGCAGTCTACATAGTATGAAAGCATTAGGGGGCAACTTCTATTTCAAAAGGTCATGTTTATGAATGGATCCAAATTTATCTTTACTTTCTCAAGACAAAAGTAGATGAAATATTTAGTAATCAGTGTTTTGATATTTTGTTTGGAAAACCGTCTGAGGTCAGTGAAGGGTTTCTCAGGTTTGATGGATTTACATAAATCCATTTGGGTTTAGGCTCTATTGTTACATTCCCTAGTTACCAATGACCTTAAGGAAATTTTACATAAGATCACAAAGATGTTTTAAGCTTATTGAAAGATTGAACCATAAAGTGAGACTGTGCTTGAGAGGGAGGAACTCCACAGGCACAGAGAAGGGAGTGGAGAGGACCCTGCCCCAAGCACTCCAGGTTGGGAGGTTGCAGTGAGAAACAAATCCCTGGAACGTTTGGCTTTGACACCAAAGGTCCAGAATCATCCACGCCCAGCCCCAGCCCCCAATCAGAAGGACATCACACCCTGAACTTTGAAAATCAACAGGCTCAACAGATTAAGGAGGCAGGAGGGTGACAGAAAACGGAGTCTTTGCCCTTAAAGAGACAGCGTAACAAACAGCTCCACCGAGATACTACTGCACAAAATCAAGTTTGAAAAATACAGGCGGTGTACAGGAAAGAGATTTATTTAATGCTCTCAGAGAATCTGCTTGAGAGGCAGGGAAATCTCAGATTTCTCCAAGAACAAAAGAACTGGTGGGTGCCATTTCCCTAAATACACAAACACCTGTGGGAACCAGCACACTGCAATGATCTCCACCTAACTTGCTAAAAGTGCCCCTCAGCCACATACTTACATGGACACAATCCCTTCAACCCTCTGCCTTGGCAGGAGTTTTCCCAGGCTACTTCAGCCCCCTTCCCACAGCAGACCGGTGCAGACCTCGCGGGCACCACCCGCAGCACTCCCAGCCGCCGTGCTCTCCTGCAGACCTTGGCTGGAGCCTATCCCAAGCAGTGTGGCAAGCCTGGCGGTGAGCAAGCAACCCCAAGAGGGGTGAGCACCACTCCAAAGTGATTCCTGTCCCTGGGAGAGGAAAAATTACAGCACGCCTCAGTGCAACAACAGTCCCGGCAGTGGGCTGGGCACAGACATCTGGTCGAACTGCAGGCCCAGCCCACCAACAAGTTTCTTTAGTGACAACACACAGAAAGCACCCTGGAGTTTGGTGCTACCACAGCTCTGGCAAATGCCTGTTCTGGTTCACTTTAAACCCCAGGTAGCCCCAGACTGGTCCACTAACAACACAAGGACCAAACCCTGCCCCCAAGAGCAAAGAGAGCCATTGCAGATAACTGATGGAAAATAGGGCTCAGCCACAAAATCAGGGCACGTGCAAAACCACATAGGACACACTCCTGAGGTGCCAGCTTATGGTAAATAGGAGACACTGCACTGCAGGGCATCATAAGACCTCCTGTTCATAAAGGCACGACTTTCAAGAGCACATGACTTCCCTAACACACTTTACAAAAAGGCAACACTGGACAAAATGAGAAGGAATATGTCCCAAATGAAAAAAGAGTACAAATTCAAAAGAAGAGAGCTAAACAAAATGGAGATAAGTAATATACCTAATAAAGAAAGTAATGATCATAAAGATAATCACAGGATTTGAGATGAGGGGAGGACATCAGTCCTAATCTTAGGATAATCTCCTTATTTTACACTCAAAGGAACTAGAAACAAAGATTAAAAACATAAAGAGAAGCAGCATTGAAGCCAAAGGACTTTGAGCCCCAAGAGACCGGGAGGAAAGGAGACAGTCAAGCTTCCAGGGACCCACCCGAAGGTGATTACAAACTGGGAGAAATAAAAGGAACGGAGGAGAGAGATCTCCATGAGCAGAGAGACAAAGGGAAGAGAAAGAGAGGCCGGGTAAGCATAGGACTGTATCTGGGCAAGAGAAAAACCTCAGAGCAGGTCGGAGAAAATTCCAACTCAAACTTTGGGGGCTTTCTCGGGATTGGGGCTTGGCTGCCAGTATAGCGCACCTGGGGAGGAAGGGAGCCAGCCCTGGGCTCGGTGGCTAGGTCAGGGGCGCAGTCCACAGTAGGAGAAAGCGATCCCCTCCCTGGGGTGTTGTGGGACAGGACAAAGCCTGCCTGTGTCCACCAGCCAGGGACCACCTATCAGGCAGTGCAGCAGCGCTTCCCTAGTACTGGGGCACAAAGAGGGAGAGTTTAAATCCCAGCCAAGCGCCATGCACGGGAGTCGGCGGAGCGAGATAAATCGCCTGGTTTGCGACCTCCACACAGTGAGGACGGCTGGCACAGAGTAGTTTGGAACACGGGTGTGTGGAGGAGAGACTGGGGGGCTGCCATCTCTCTCCCCTCCTCCACCACCAAGGTGGGGCCTCAGGGATTGGACAGTGGGGCCCACAGTGGAGGCGGGGCCGCCTACACCAAACCACGCCCCGCCCCTGGTAACTGCAGATCTACTGGAGCAGGACAGACACCGAGGAACCGGACTGCCCCTCCTCCAGACCAGCGCTAGTGCACTGCCTGGATTAATTCCCAGACAATTCTTGTTATATAGAAACATTCTTCCTTCCTTTTCTCATTCTTATTTCTTCCCTCCTCTCGTCTGGTTATTCTGATTGTTGGTTTATTTAATCCATTCTCTTGATACAGGTTCTACACCTCCTTTATTTTACACACTCTCTCTGTCTGCATTAAGCCTCAGAATTTCTCTGGTCAATTTTTATTCTTTGTTTTATTCGTTGTATGGCTTAGGGCCTTTTCCATCAGCAATGCCTCCACCCTGTTGTTTACTTGTAGCTTGTGTTTCTGGTGTTTGGTTTCGTTTGTGTGTTGTGCTTGTGTTTTCAGTTTTGCTTTTTGTTTCTGTTTCAGGGCTACTTCAAGGAACAAATCAAAACACACCTGGTGGGGGATCCAAAACACCACTACTAGTAGAGAGACACCACTAGTAATAGAGAGAAAGATAAAATAACCAGAGTCACAACAACAGTGAACAAGTAACACTCTCCAATAAACACCTCCTGAAGGGCCAGGCTGTGGACAGTGAATAATATACACTCTTTAATATAGTAATGCTTGGAGGTGCGGGGCACATAACAAGCTTTTAAAACACATAAAGGGGTGGGAGAAGGCAAGCTGGCAGAGAAGTAGGGGCTCTGTACATTTCACTCGCCCCCATATCTCAAACGGAGAAGGCCTGAAGCCATAGGAACCCTTACAGAATCCAGGAGTTTGGGAAGAAAAGGAGACAGAGTCCGCTGAGAAAACAACCTTATAGTGTGAGTGGAACTGGGGAAGATAAAAACCGGCCAGCACCGGAAACACAGCAGGAGGAGAGGGAGCCCTCTTTGCAGGGAGCCAAGGTGAGTCAAGGTCAAGGGTAAAAGAGAGAGCAGCTGAAACTTTTCAAGGAACTGTCCCTTTCCTTGGAGAACAGAAAAACCTCGGCTTGGGACAGAAGGATCTGATTTCCAGCTGTCCAGCTGACCTTGAGCAGAACGCACTGGTCCCAGGAGACGCTGGGAGAAACCACTCCTCAGCTCACCAGCTTGACCTGGAGAGGAAACAGCATGCCTGAAGCAGCTCCACCTGTCTTCTGGATCTGCTCGATTCCCAGTGGGGAGGCGAGAGGCTTGAAACTGCTCGGAGGGACTCAGCCTACAGGTTTATATTTTGGGATATATCAATGGGGCCTTGGACTAAGATCTGGAAACGAAGTGTAGCTTGGGACAGAGCACGGCCCACCTCAGCTACGCCCACAGCACAGGGAGATCAGAACCAACAGAGACTACCTCAAGAAACAAGCCAAAGTACACATGGTAGAGAGTCCCAAATACCACTACAAGTAGGGAAATAAAATAACCAAAGTCTCAATAAGATCAAGAGACACCAAAGAACACTTCCTGAACAGACAGGCCCTGGACAGTCAAAGAGCCTTCTTTAATACAGCAGTCCTTGCAGATGCAGAGTGCACAACAAGCTTTTAAAACTAACGAGACAGAAAGCTAACAAAAATGAAGGAATGGAAGAACTCTCCTCTAAAGAAATTCCAAGAAAAAAAGGCAGAGGAAGAACTGCTCAAAACAGATATAAGCAACATAACTGAACAAGAATTAAGACTAATAGTTACAAAATTAATAGCTGGGCTTGAAAAAGGCCTGGAATACATCAGAGAAACTACTGCTACAAAGACTATGGAGCTTAAAAACAGTTGTGATGAATTAAAAAATGCTATCAATGAGATGCAAAATAAAATGGAGGCGTCCAATGCATGGACTGAAGAGG